CCGTCCGGTTCCGCCGATTCTCCTTATCGGTATCCCTAGGTGCGCTTCTTTCGCTCATTACGCAGGGTCGCAGACTGAAAAATGCCTGCTCAGAACATCCGAGCAGCTTCAACGCTCGGGATAGTTGGTCAAAGGGAAGACAATGGGTGGAATTGCTCATCGCTTGATGCTGCCATGCTCGTTCCTTGGCTATGCCTTCGCAGGACAAGCTTAAGGTGCGACATGGCAGCATCAAGGCATGAAGTCTCCACCCACGGCATGGAGTCCGATGTTCTGCTGCACCCTCTCGTTGGAATAGTGCTCGCTGGGTTTATTGCAGCGGTGGGGTCTCTGAATTCATTGCCATGCGAGATGGCTTCGTTCTCTGCATGCCAGGCGAGAGTGTTACGAAGCTTCGGTCAATCGGATCTTCTCTCGTGGATCCAGAGGAATTTTTCATACCATACATGCTGGCCGAGCATTCGAAGGGGAAGGATAGGAAAACTTCGCCATTGACTTCGCTTTAATTTGAGAGGAGGACGAAGGGCTTTGATCCTCTTCTTCCCTCTTTCCTTGGCTCTAATCCAACTGTTCTCCCGTACGCCTTTTTTTCACCGTCGCTTCTCAGCGGTCTTCCGGTTCCCTATCAGCTGCGGGCATGCCTGCTGCAAAACGTTGCCAGCCATCTTCTACAGGGTCGACTTTCTCGACGTTTAACGATGAAGCACCTCATCAGCTGATTTGGTGACGACACCAGATATTCGTTGAACATGAGCGGACTAGCAGGGTCAATATGCCCCAAAGGGGTTGCCAATCGATCCGTCTATAGCCTTGTCTCGGACAATTTCGTTCTGAATTCGGTCGTGTAGTGTTTGTCATAGGTTCATCGTGGCGTTCATCTACATGACACTCGGCTCTTGCATCAGTAGCTGTCGTCTCTTGCTCTCGGCCTCATAGCTGGCCACTTTTTCACGACATTCAAGTGTAGATCTTAGACCTCATGCGAATCGGCACCCTCTTCTTGCTTAGGACACAAACAAGCCTTTTTTCATGGAGCGTTGATTCTCGCAACTGCGTTGGCTTTGTTATCTGCCTCAACGGCTGGGTAGATCCAAGTGCGGCTGGACTTCCGCAGTACTTGGGAGAGGTGTTCCGTCGACTACGATCGACGAAATAGCCACGGCAGTTCGCATTTGGTTCGCTTTGTCGACGGGCTTGAGTCCTTAGAAGGTCAAGTCTCTCGACGGCTGACGCTTCGTTCCAGTTTCTTCTTCGATCTGCAGCACGTGGTTAGCATATCACAGCGTGGTTCTTTTCGGACGTGACAGTCGCGTAGTTCATAAAGAGAACGAACGGAGAGCGCAACGGCGAAAGGACAGAACTACCGATGAACTTCAGGTGACTGGAGTGTTTTCCAGGCGTTTGGACGGCACGGGGGCAGTAGAGTTCGGGAAGATCAGCGAAGCGGTTTTGTCGAGCACACCTGAAAATTGCTGATGGCGGAGAGCAGCGATCACTAGTGCCTATCAAACTCACCGTACACTATCTCGACAATAGGGCGCAGTCAAGCAGCTCGTATGACGTGGGCATGACGTATGGAGTCGGTAGCCGGGCGCACCAGGAATATCTAACACCAGAGAACAGTGGATCACTTGCACCTTCAAATGCCGGAAGTGTACACTTCAATGTCTGTTAACCTGCCATGACGATGAAAAGATCCATTTCTCGGGATGTACAATATGTCTTCAACAGAATAGCTCTACTGAGATCCTTCATAGGAAATACTCTCATTACGTGAGCGTTCTAGGATAAATGTTATTCTAACTAGCAGACTTCATGGAAGATAGCACTCAAAAATCGTTAACTAACACAACCGGAGGAATGGCACAAACTGTTGCTGCAGATGATGTACCGATGGAAGTCGTCACTGCGACGGAGACCACCGCCAAGAAAGCATCTTCACCAGGTAAATACAGTCTTAATCTGACCACCCAGTTTTCTACCAATTATGGTCGCCTGCCAGCTTCCATAGTTGGTGGAGAACGGGCTGGTGCTGCACTAAACCTAGTTCCCTGATATGTCCCGCTTTCGCAGCGGACAACCCTGAAGAAATTTGGCTTATACAGTGATCAGTGATACCAAACGAGGACTAACAAGTTAGTGTCCCAGACGAGTCTGTGACCAGTGTGCGGACCCAGGGGAAGGATTTCGCTATGCTCAGACAATGAGGGTGGTAACGATCACCTTTGTCACCACTCTCTCCCAGCTCTTAAAGCCAATGAATCGAAATCGTTGGATCCCCTTAAAGGGTTGTACTTGTTCTCTGTGGAAGGGAGGGGAGTCGTGTCTGCCCTTGAGGGGAATTTTTCCAGGCAAAGGAGAGTGC